TTGTCTTAACATTACTTCGCTCCTGAGGTTTTCTTCTAGAAGTGCCTCGGATTGCGCCACTTTAATCCGATCGATCAGACTGGACACTAAATCGATTCTGGTAAGTACAACTTTCATCACTCTACCGCACTCTTTTCAACTAAAAGCATCCTCCACCACATTTGCTTTTTCCGGAATGGTAGGGTAATTCACAATCATAGTTTTTATATTATTGTGCATCAAAAGTCAAATACTAGATTTATGCTGTTAGGCACACACACAAAGAATCAAAGCAAGCTCTACCCTGTCCTACAGAAGTTGCTTTTAAGCTTCATTGCACTTCCTACCACCTAATGCTAAAAGCTTGTCATCCATGTTGACTCATCTCCTATAGCAACCATGTTCATCAATTTATCAATYCTTGTTGGTAGAATCTAGTTAATCAAATATATCCTCTATGCTTAACACCTCATTCACATTTCTGCCCCACTCACTTTGTATACATGTTGACCTTCTATGGCCTAACATACTGCCATGTAAATCATAGGAAGTCTCACTGCCATTCTCCATCGAATTGAGTAAGATTGTAAGCGTGATAGCAGATATAAATAGCTCCAATTATCGCGGGCGCAGAAAATATCATCTTTCCCATAGTTCAAAGATCTCTCTGAGTAACATGAATCAAATCATTAATAGATATGTTCCACCAAAAAAAAATGGTAATGGGATTTGGAGTATGAATATATTATCTATAATCCAAGGGAAATAACATCTATACCTCACATGCTTTCTCACTCGGTATCTCATCATACATAGAAGCAAATCAAACCAACTCACGATAGGAGGTTTCTTTTATTTAAGAGCCCACCATGACGTTTTCCTCAATACACCATCATATGCATTTTCTAGATCAACGAACACCACATGTAAATTCCCTTCGTTTTTCCTACACATCACTCTGAGTCATCTAATCATGAAAAATAACCTCAGCTAATGTCCGTAGCATAAAACAAATTTGATTTTCCAACACCTAAAGTCTACCTATGATCAGTAGCTCTTAATAAGGTTCCACAAAGAAACAAGGCGTTTCCACTAGTGGTGAAAAGTAATGCTGGACTAAAAATCATTGCCTAGTCTAAAACATCAGTCTGATGCCCGCAGGTAATAAAACATACCTAAATTGAAGACGTCATCTTAGTYAAGGTAAGACCTCAAAAGTATTCGATTAAAAGTACATATGCTGATAGCATGCTCTTTCTTAACCAAAATGTAATATCAAAATTCCAGTTCAAAGGAAAAACCACAAATGCAAGTCTTATTTCCACATGCTACATGGTGAGGTAAGCCCATAGAGGAAGATCTAACCACAACAAAATCGTCTCCAATACTGCATTAAAAGCTTTAATATATCATGGCACCACCTTCTGGACATTTTCTCAGTGACTTACTCATCCAATCAAATCTACTCTAACAGGGTTAACTTCCAGAGTCRTGCACAACAAAAGCTTTTCTGACAACATCCTTCCCATTCTACTCATATTCAGTGCCCACTCAAAATAAGGAGAAAAATATGCAAGGCCAGCAAGGGCGTGGAACTACACACAAAAGAAATGAAGGGAAAGTGTAAAACTTAGTATATGTTAGTGCAACATCAATATCAGCTAAACTAAATTAGGAAGCAGTATCCGTTGGGCAAAGCCTCACATTTAGCACCAAGTGAAAAAAAGGTAATACCCAAATACAAGAGTTCAGTTAGAGGAACTCACGTGAGCATAAACTTTACCCCAAACTAATTGGGTATTGATCAAAAAGTCCATAATAAACAAATAAACACTGAAATGGTAGGCCAWGTATAGATCTCTCACAAGGAGGAAGGATTAATAGCTTATAACAAGTCTTGCTACAAGCCTGCAATTGATTAATGCTCTTATTGTGCAACAGCTCCAWCATGTCTCCCCACACCAGACTCTTGACCCAGCTATTGATGTACTTATGTTGCTATAGCAGCTCAATTCTTCTCCAGGGCTAACCCACAACCTAAGACAGCTTATCTCAAATATAATATTCCATAAGAATTTCATTTACCACCTTGCAAATATGCTCGACTTCAAATTTTCCCCATTTACCATACCCATCAATATCTTAGCCTCAATCACTTCACAATTATTTATCTTCATAGACAACAATATTCCAGCTTAGATAGCAAAATATAGCTAATCCTGAAAATACTTCTAAATGATGCAATTGACACATCCTTAGCCTTGTGTTCCGAGCAAAATGTCTATGTCTACTGACAGTAGCTTTCCGACTAAACCCTCTGCTTCAATCAATACCTATTAGATTCTTTCAAGGTGCAGCATATCTTCAGCCCTTAAACTTTACTGGTACTCATCGAACCGACAATATTTAAAACAGATTAGATTAAACAAAAAAAACATTATAAATAACTCAAATAACAAATACTCAAAATTGATCCAAATGCAACTCTAAGGTTTCATGAAGATGCTTAGTCACTAAGTCATCATGTATGTCTCCAATCCTGTGAATAATTAACAAGCCAGAAGCAAAAACATCCATAAAAGACCCACCATATTAGATCATTTAATTCCATTACCCTCTTAAGTTTAACTGAAGAGTCTCTTCCCACAGTGCAATAATAGTCAAGACCTCTGCCAAATGAGTGATTATGGTGCAGTCAAGTCATTTGGGTTAAAGATGGTTGGCCAAAGAGTGTCGAGGACCCTTTTCATATCATTATCCATCCCATTCCATTTATAGGTTAATCTCTTTGCTTAATCCACTACATATACACAAACAAGTCTCCTTTAAATTTCCATATACTGCCTTAAACATCTTCTAGAGTACTAGGCGTAAGCAAGAGAGTGACGGAGAGTTAGGATAGGGAAAAAGAAATACGGGATCAACATAATACGGTACCGACACAATCATAATTTTGTAATARCAGTGAGTTCAAGCACGCTTATGTAACAACTTACTCAAAATTACATTAGCTAAGTGGAATTTTGAATAGGYTATACATAAGGATCCTCCACACCATCGCTACAATTCATGAATTATGCAACTCCTTTGACTCTAAAGTTTCTCCTATCAAAAAAAGTCTACCCGCATCTCACAATTAATCCTTACAAAAATTTCAGCTTAAGTCTAGGCGTCTTAATTCCATACCTAGTTCGCTTAAACTATTGCTCTGATACCAACTTGTAACACCCTAAAAAAAAGGGATAATTTAAACCGAAACTATTTAACGAGGACCAAGACTCAATATTAAATTTCACCCAACAAAAGGGTAATAGTATAGTGTTTACAAAACGGTTACTGAGAAGATAAATACAACCTACTAATCTAGATTTTACTAGATTAAAGATGGGTATTTCTGTCAATCTCCAAAATGTCGTAATATCAAAAACGCAACATTCAAAAGTGACAAGACTATAATTACAAAAGAGCCTTTCACGAACCGCGCTCCTCTCAACCCTTTAGAGCCCCACCGACAAAGGAACCTAAAASTAATTATTACAAGAAAGAGAGAGGGTTAGGCTTACGCCTAGTGAGTCCAAACAAAAGAGTTTACGTAACCATAAAGGAACATATATAAAAATATACATGCAAATAGTTGACGTAACTTTAAACATGAATAGAGACAGTAAGACCTAAATAACTCGAAGTGGAACAATAAAACATCCGAAGATGACGGGGGAGACCCGATTTACCGTTGATTATGACAGACACAAAGTAAATCATAAATCAACGTTATAGAGCATCACTCACAGGTTTAATACCATCGACATCAACCTAAACCAGTCATGTAGTCGACCGTGATCTTAAGCTCTTTACCTCGGTAATTACACAATAATCACAATGCCTATTACCGAGTGAAAGTGAGAGGATGATTTGGTGATTACATAATAATCACAATGCCTATCACCAACTTACACCATCATTCCCACGAATAAGATAAAACAATATACATGCACTATATAAATAGAAATAATGACGTAGTATCGTACGATATTTATATATATAGAAAATGAGTCATAAATAATACGTGGRAGTGYCAAGACATCCGAAGATGACGGGGGAGTCCCGATTTACCATTAATTAAGAYGGAGCACAAAGTAAGTCATAGATTAACGTTATAGAGCATCACTTATCGGTATAATACCATCGACATCAACCTAAACCAGTCTTGTAGTCAGTCGTGATCTTAAGCTCTTTACCTCGGAAATTACATAATGATCTCAATGCCTATTTCCGAGTGGAAATGGGATGATAGATCTGGAAGTTACATAATGATCACAATGCCTAAATCCAAATCATATCAACCTCCTCCTAAGTAATTAATTCAACTTATGTACTCAMAATCCAATACCCTCTAGTAAGTATGATTAAAAARACGGCATATGCATAATATTACTYATTTAATATCAAGTATTACACGCGATTTCTATAACCGTGAATTATTCTCTAATTCCAATAAAAGCCCCTCACCCATATATCTTGGGGATTTTAAAGTTTTTAAGGCCAACGAAACTATAAATGTGCAACCTAGTTACTGAAAACCAATTTCCGTCTTATCCAAGACCAACGTCAACGGAAATCCTACGTTGACAATCTCCTAACTTATAATTCACATAATAATCAAGTGAGTAATCTTTTTAGAGGCTATAGTATACGGTAGCAAATA